TTTGCAGAAATTTTAGCTATTTCTTAGTTTTCTTTTCTGCGTTTGTGCCATACGTTTTCCAAAAAAAAAATATTTGGGCTCAAACTACCATGGTCTAAGTTTGGTACCGCGTCTATTGAAAAGTAACATCTACTCTCGTAAAACTCTTCACTTACAAGCACAGGCGTCGGCTTCTTTGCATGGCTTTGGACGTGTCTTTATGAGACTCGATTTTACCTCAGTCTATATCTTAATTCTGCATGTGCCTTTACTTACATTGACTAATACATCAAGATAACGAAAAACATCGAATTTCCATTTGTTTGTTTTATTTGCGCCATTGTTTCTTTGATGATTTGATATAATTGATTGGGCTCACTTCAGTACGAATCTGTCGAGAAGAGTGATCTTCATCAACCTACAATCATGTGCAATCTGTGCCTCTTTTGTGCGAAGAAGATCTAATCAGTAACAACTTAGAAAATCCAAGCATATTTTTTAGAAATTTCCTAGTGTACATTTAGGATCACGATTTGGTTGGTGGTATTCGAAACGTTTGGGACAGCAGATTTACATTTGCGGAAAAATCTTGAGAAGTGTTTGATACAAACATTCTAATAACATACATTTTATACTATTTATCTCGCTCTAGCAGATGCTTCCGACATTTGAATTTTTCTGAGAATTAAACAGATATAGCGTTCTAGGCAAGGTAACATCTGTGCGCACAGTTTGCATTTGCCACTCACCCGTGGCGGATAAAAAGAGGGAGACATTTTTGAAAAAAATCATATGTGCTTTGAAAAAAGTGACTCGTTTCATTTCATCGATGTTATTCCAATCTAAAATGTGAAAAAAGATCACTTGGAAAGGGGCGTGGTCTGGCCACTCTTACGCCACGCCCACCTAGCTAGTTTCTCTGTCATCTCTTGAATTTTTTGCGATCATTACCGCCTCTTTTGGACTTTCTTCCCACTAAAAGGACTTCCATCTAAAGATGAACTTTTCTCAAAGTTTTCCTTTGTGTCGCTTCTTTTATCTCCATTTCCCCTTTTTAGAGCAATGACCCATTATTGAACAAGTCGAATCAACTATGCTCAATTTGCTAATCGACCTACAC